GAGCAAACTGCTTCCATAGTAATCTCCTTGGTTAAGACTTTGCTAAAACTCTAAACTGGTACTTTCCCAGTTTAATGTAACAACAGCATCGTGTTCTAAGAGTGCTTTGCTATGTAAGCAGAATGCCATCTAGTGGGCATTTAATACATTGTTCTACATTGTGACAGTTCGCATGACAAAGACCGAACAAGTACTGTATATATTTTCTACATATGGTAACATTTCAATGCTTTCAATGTGTAGCTGACACATCCCAACTTGCACATCTTCTATAGGTAGCATCAGTATGAGGAGTATAACATTGTGCATACAATTTGCATAAGCAGTTGGTGATGATCAGGGAAGGTCTTCCCTGTGTTCTGACAGGCCCTGACTGGTCCTTCTTACAGAGTCAGAAGAGAACTGCAATAGGTGCCAAAAATAATAAAAAAATTGCCTCATTACTTGTAAACACCACACACCAATTTAATCCAACATTTTAAGACTTATTAAATTGATATAGTAATTTTTCTTCTTCAAAAAAGTTAAACTAAACCTTTGTTTACGTGTTAAGAGAAGGTGGCAGAATGATGGTGAAACCTCTCTGCATTTATAATATTAACAGGCAATTCCTTTTAAAAGCATTAAAATTCCTTTTTAAAAGTATTTTGAAGAATTCACCAGTTCCTCTCAAAGGGGTTGTCATGTTGGCTTGTCGTAGCACAAACAAGAATCTTTTAAGCTTTAAAGGCCAACAAGTTTTGTGCAGTGTACCATATTTTTCTGTGTATACGACCCCCCAATGTATAAGATGGCCCTCTAATTTTGACCCTTGCCAGAGGCGGAGGAGCAGTTAATGGGCAACTGCTCCTCCACTTCCATCTGCTGCTGCTGCCGCCTCTGCTGCCTGATCACCTCCTCCATTGCAACTGCTGGGGCTCACCTCCAGCTTATGTTGTCACCACCTTATCCCCTACCCAAAGGGAGTGCTGGAGGAAGCGATGCTCTCTCAGTCTCCTCCTCTACTCTCGTCTCAGCTTCTCCCCAATAAGAGGATCTGGGTGGGATTTCCTTCTATAATCTGCCTCTTCCTTAGGCACTCTTAGCCTCTCCCATAATCCTGTCCAGGGATCCTCCATCCACACCTTTTCCCAACCAGATGGCAACTGCTCTTCCCTCCTTTTTACCTCCCACATTCCTGCCTGAAATTCCACCTTCTTTTTCATCTCCTTTCCCACCTTTCCTTATGATTTTTAAGATTAATGTCAGCAAGAATAAAGGAGAATTTTAAAAAAAAAGTTTAAGTTAGTACATGACTCCAGTGAAATTGAACATAATAAATTCAGACTGTTCTAAAGCCTGTTGGAAATGTTATGAAGAAATTGGGACATATTATCATATGTGGTGGGAGTGTACATTAATTCAGAAATTTGGAAATTGATTTTTAAGGAAATATGCCACCTAGAGTGGTCGCAAGACCAGATGGGCAGGGGTATAAATACAATAAAAAAAATTAAAAAAATAATAAATAATATTTGGAAAAGATATTGAATGTAATTCTAAAATTGCTTTGCTGTCAATTTTTGATAAGGTAGAACTTGATTATTGCTGAAAGGAATTGATTTTTTGACAATTTGATATTTTTATGACAAGTGCTACAATATTAATAGCTAGATACTGCAAAGACAAGCACAATATTAAATTAGAAGATTGGTATAACGAAGTATGGGACATTGCGTTAAATTACAAATTGACTATTGAACTTAAGATGAAAAGAGGTGAAATAAGTTGAAATATTTTTTATGCTATTTGGGTTAGATTTATTGAATTCGTATTAGTGAAAGGAAAGGGGAAAGCCTCTAAGGAACAATCAATACAATTTTGGAAAGGAGGTTTGTAATAAAAGAATTGCTCCAAAGGGCCCCATGGGTATAGGGCTGCACTGTGTTTTAGATTGTATTAGTAAGGATTTTGTATTGTTGTATTTGTTTTGGAAATTAAAAAAATAATTTAAAAGAAGAGACTTGATAATAGAGATAACAATCATGGCTAAAATCATCTGATGTCCTTTGTTTTATCCTCAGGGAAAATTCCTACATCCAAGCTGTCTTTGAACTTTGCTCCTTAGCATTTTCCAGAATGCATTCCATCCTGGGCCAGAGTGATCTGACGTATTGGTTCACTCCTGAGGCATATCGTTTTCGAAAGGCTTGCCAAGTGGCCCATCTTCATACAGGTATTTTGCTTTCTTGGGTAGCAGGAGTTACTATAAGGCAGGGGTCCCCAACCCCCAGTCTGTGGCCCAGTGCCTGGCAGGATCAGGCCGCGGAGACAGATCTCCAGCCCCCTGCTCGCACTCCGCCCATGCATACCCACCCACCTGCACACATGGATGTCCTGCCCATGCTCACAAGCACGCCTTGTCTACCCTTGAGCGTGCCCCACCCACCCGTGAGTGCACCCCGCCCATCCGTACATGTGTGCCCCACCCACCCACAAGCACAGGGGGTGCCCCTGCCCCCATGCACAGACCCCCCCAACCAGTCTGCGGTTCAAAAAAGGTCGAGAACCACTGCTATAAGGGATGCTAGATTGCTCTCAGCTTCAAAGTGGTGCCTATATGGATTTTAGATTTTTTTTAAAAAAAAGAGGCTAGTCACTGAGTTGTAAGTAGTAATTTTGACACCCAGGTCAAGCAGCATGAAACACAGGCTTAAATCAAGTTTGTGGTTCTTGATGTAACAATAATATAAGATGTAACCCTATTCTATAGTCTGGTACCACCAGAGCCTCATTCAAAGGAAACGTTTGCCTTCCCTGTATTATCTATGGCCCACATTGCTCTTCCTTCCCAATCACCACCACTTCGCTTTCCAGTCCCACTTGCTTTGCTGACAGGCAAGATGGTAGCAGAGGGGCACCATATTGTGCACCAGCAGAACAAACGTGAGAAAGAGGACTTTCGGCAGGCTGTGGTGGAGGACAGCAGGGGCAATATATGTTTCTGCCAGGGCTGAGAAGCAGAGAGGTCAAAGCATTTTGTAGCAGTTGTTTTATTCCTTCTCCAAGCCTTATGTATTTTATACACGAATGTGTCTGATGAATGAGTACACATCTCGTCTTATCAGAAAACCAATTCCATATAAAATAAGGTTTCTGAGCCCAATAACATTAATAGACATTAATTAACATGTGGCAATTTGCCACCAGCTTTGCAGCAGCTTTGCAGCAGGAAAAGCAGCTGTGTGTTCATTTCTGAGGTAAAGAGGATACAAGAAATGCTTTCCATCTCCATTGGCACTGCCTAGATGTGTTCCTTATAAGGTATGGATCGTTTCCGTTCCTCTGACTCTGCTTTGAAAAAAGCTGCCACATCTATATTTGTAAACCCCATGAATGCCAGACTTAATACAATGGACACATGGGGTTTGCCACAGTGCCCCACAAGGATCCCTGGACTCTGTTCCACCCCTGGACCACCCTGGAAATGAACCAAGAGCCCAGATTTGGTTATGGTTTCGGCATTGGGCTGAGCCTCTATCCTGAGCATCTCTCATTCACAAAGTGACAACTTGTGATAAGCTGTTGCAATCGTCACTTTTCAACACAGATAAGATAATTAAGGAGAGAAAGGAGTCACTGGGAGATGAGGAGGAACTCCAGAAGATCCAGCAGAAGAGGCACTTGGACTTTCTTGACATCCTTCTCTGTGCCAAAGTGAGTACTGGAAGGCAAAATGATAATCCCACTGTCAAACCTATTACATCAGATGGGACTGATTTCTAAACAACATGTTACCGTAGTAGTCCTTTTAAAAAATCGAATAAAAAGAAAAACTGCCTAAAATCCTATTGCTGTGTAGGTTAAAGTGAGTAGCTGGAAAAGTACCATCAGTGTAAACAGAATTGCATTATTGCTACACAACAGAGAGTGCCTGCTAGCAAAAGCTGCGCCAAAGGTTACACCATTTGCACCATGCTGCCAATAGGATTTGGGCCACTTTGAGTCAGTTTTTTTCTGTAGGTTTGGAAGCTCAAGGTGATACAGAGATATGTAGACCAGCTGTTCTCTGTTTCTTTGGGAAGGAAAAGAACAAAATATAATGGCATGAAAACATTACACCAGGGCTCCAGAATCTATGCTGATTTCCTTTCAGCTGTAAGGAAAAATGATGACTGATTAATTATTGTTGTTTAATTTAAGTTTCTTCCTTTTTGGCATTGAAGTGATATTCTGTTCAAGATTTAACATCCTTCTGTTGGGCACAAGAGGCATCCAACAGTGGGTGTCAGGGATGCATCTCCTTAGAGAAGCCATTCCACAAGGGGAAGGAGCCAAACTGTAGTTCCCAATTTCCATTACTGAGACCTAGGAGGTGCATGAGTGGACAATTAAGGGCCATCTTCTGTCCCTAGATTTTGAATCACTCCCTTATTTGAGCTTAAAACTCTTTAGCTGTGTACTTTAAACCTTGCACACCAGCCTGACCAAGTAGGACACCCAAATAACCAAAAGTTATTTCAGATGGGAAGCCATTGTGGCCAAGGCACTTTCTTTAGGCACTCTCACCCTTGCCCCCAAGAATCACACTTGAGTAAAATATATAATATTTATTCAAAATGCGTAAAAAGTTATAAAACCAAAGAAATACAAGAAGATACAAATTGTACTGGTTAAATGGCAAGCATCTGAGTATTAAAAAGGCTCCTGCAAGACTTCCCCATAAAACAATAAAATAATTAACTAGCTAATGATTTTACTACTTAGTGAATAGGCTATTCTAAGTCACCCTGGCTAAGCTTCCCAATCAATCAATAAAGGCTGTAAACCTGTCATCCATCTTCTCTCCTCCTTCAAATTACAGGGGTACACACACACATGCACTTTTCTTAACCCCCTTTTCTATAACTTAAATCAAAGTCTCTGCTTCGTGATGGTATCCAATCAGCACACAGTCCTTTATTTGTAAGTCCATGCCCATCTTGTAACTTTCCACAGCTCCAGTCCTCTCGTTCCCAGGCTGGTAGGCCATTAAGTAAGGAATGTTATATTTTATGATATGGCCTTGATGCTCTTCCACAACAACATATAGGCTTCTGGCCAAGATGAAACACCTGCAAGTCCTGGGAAATAAGTACTACAAAACCCATATCCTCACAGTGGGTCATTTCTTTCCATTGTTTGGAAAGTGGGAAAGGAATTATGTAATTGTACTTTTTGCTCCATCTTCGTGTAAGCTCCTTCTCTTCAATCTACTCTTCTTTACTTGGCCAGGGAGACAGTTTTACTTCTCCTTTTTTCCCTCTTTGGCTCAGACCCTCCTATTGTCTCTCAAGCTTGTACTTTTTACCTGTGAGACTAACTATCCTTCTTTTCATTTTATCTTTGTACCTTAAAAAACAATTACCTTGCCTTTTACTCCATCTTTTTGGTGATCTTCTTTCACTTTCCTCTTTGCTTTCTCTTCTGCCAGGAGCAGAAGATTTTTTTCTTCTTATTTGGCACTCAGAGATGTCCAGTTCCTCTAGAAAAGTGGCTAGCTTCACTATTGATACATCTGTGGAGTTAAGATATTAGCCCCTGCCTCTTTCCTCTGGTCCGAACTCTTGATCAGTCCTATTATTTCCTAAGCACGTTAGTGTCTTTCGACTACATGCTTAGCCATGAAATGACACTGAGGAAGAGGAGCCTGCAAGAGGAAAGATTGTGCAAAATACAAAGACATATGCTTCTTGCCTGCCATTCAACAGGAAGAATCAATGCTCTCTTATCTCTGCATGCCAAACATGGGGGAACCTTCACCGTAAATATCAATGTCATATTCAGTGCCAAGGAAACCCACATTTTGTGGAAATCACCAGTGTGGTTCATGAAGTGCTGCGGTCACTTGCTTCATCACAATCATGTCATTTAAAAAGAGAGAAACACACATTTTTAAATAAAATCCTACAACTAGTGAAGTTTTTCTATGTTTAGGATGAAAATGGTGTCAGACTGTCAGACGAAGATGTACGTGCTGAGGTAGACACTTTCATGTTTGAAGGCCACGATACCACAGCCAGTGGGATCTCCTGGCTGTTCTATTGCCTTGCACAGAACCCAGAACATCAGCAGAAATGTAGGGAGGAGATAAGGTCCATTCTGGGGGACCGTGACACGATTCACTGGTGAGCTTTTACGTTTCATTGTTCAGGGTCTACAGCACGGTACCCGAGGGCGTCAGTGTTTCTAAGGAAGTCTTCCTTTATACCTTCCAGGTTTCTCCTTGAGGTCTGGGCTAATGGGCTAGTTTTCATATGTAATTTTTCATTTTTAAAAACATTTTAACATACGGTTCTGTGTAATGTAAAGATTGCCAGAAAGGGTTTTCAATCACTGAAAAACGTGAGTTTTTAAACTAGAGAAAGCCTCCTTTTGCCCTCTAGTGGCCACAGTTTAAAAAAAGGAAAGGAAAAACAGGGTGCAGGAAGGGAATGTTTTGGGAGTTCCAAGGGCACCAGGAGGCCTTAGGATTGAGCTGTCTGAGGAGCCTGCAGCATGATATCTGCACAAATTTTATTAATTGTTTAGTCACCAGTAAGCATAGAACTGAATGAAACAGTTACTTATTTCCTTATTATTTCCTTAGGGATGATCTTAGCAATATGACCTATTGCACATTATGCATTAAAGAGAGTCTCCGCCTCTACCCTCCAGTTCCGGGAATTTCTCGAGAACTTAGCAAACCTATTACATTTTTTGATGGACGGACTTTACCTGAAGGTTTGCATCATTTCATTCTGTTCCAACAGTCAGATGTTGCTCTTAAAAAGGAATTTTATTTGGTTTAAAAAGGTAAAGGTAAAGGTTCCCCTTGACCATTTTTGTCCAGTCGTGTTCGACTCTAGGGGGCGGTGCTCATCCCCGTTTCCAAGCCATAGAGCCAGCGTTTTGTCCGAAGACAATCTTCTGTGGTCACATGGCCAGTGCGACTTAGACACGGAACGCTGTTACCTTCCCACCGAGGTGGTTCCTATTTATCTACTTGCATTTGCATGCTTTCGAACTGCTAGGTTGGTGGGAGCTGGGACAAGTGACAGGAGCTCACTCCATTGAGTGGATTCGATCTTACGACTGCTTGGTCTTCTGACCCTGCAGCACAGGCTTCTGTGGTTTAGCCCACAGCGCCACCACGTCCCTTATTTGGTTTATCAGCTGGTTAATATATTTATTTTTTAAAAAAATGATTACGGTGTCTTACCAATCAGTTCTACAATACCCAGGTATAGCTTACTAACAATATTTTAAACCATCAGCACCTAAAACAATTTGCACTTGGTAACCAGTTTAAATTCTGTCATGGTTGTTGTCAACATCCCAGGGCATCTCTGCACAACCTAACTCTTCTTCCATTTTGATTGCTTCCCAGGTTCTTGGGTTGGGATAAGCATTCGTAACGTACATAGGAGCCCCAGCATATGGAATGATCCAGAGGTATGTTTTCTGCTCTTTCTTAAGGTAGTGGTTCCCAACCTTGAGTAACCCATGTATTCTTGGGCTGCAACACCCAGAAAACTCAGCCAGCACTGCTGATGGGGAAGGCTTCTGGGAACTGCAGTCCAAGAATACCCAGGTTACTCGTGGTTGAGAATCACTGTCTTAAGGCAATGATCTTCTCTCTTGGCAAAGTCCTTGCTGGTCACCATTTCCTCTGCAAAAATAGCCTTCTGGGCTACACAGCTGTGAGATTATCTTTAAATGCCATCTAGCTTATTGAAGGCACCAGCTTCAGCACAACCGAGATCTTTTCAAACCACAATTCTTAGAATTCTTCAGCCAGCATTACCATGGTGCTGGATTCTGGGAAATCTATATGCTATCAGCTGTACATTGTGTAGCTGCCACAAAATAGATCACCCTCAACCTCCCAACAGAGGGAAAACATAAGGGGAAAAATCATAATGTAGACACCCCCTAACTCAGGGCACAGTTACACTTAAAAAGCCCCCCTTTTTTGAATTGAGTTTAGCATGAAATTGAAATCAATTTTTTAAAAATTCCAATTACACAATGCACACGAAAGTGTGTGTGTTTTTGTTGGAAAGTGAGGTATTTTATTCAGCTGTGAGAGGGCTGTTTATTTTAAATTGCTTTTGAAATCACTTTATTTTGAATCATTTGAACATATTTGAACATTCCTGTTGGTGTAAATTGTGTCTGTAGAATTTGTCAAGTAATGGATGCCAATATCATGGGCTTCAGGCCATGGGGAAACCTTGCAGTACAATCTGTTATATATTTTTTTCCATCTGTAATATTGATTTAGCAGTATCCTTCTTTGAAAGAAAAAAACTAAACTATATTTAAAACAACACTACCACAGCAGTGCTGAATGGCTGTGAGAGACAGCCAGTGCAATGGCAGGCAGGTGCAAGACAAAGCCTCTAATGCAACAAGTCTACAAATCTGTATAGTCCCCTTGACTGATATATAACACAGTTTAAAAAACTAATTAAATGTCTTCCCAAAAGGATGCATACACTGACCCAAAAACCACATGACTGCCACATGACTTTAAACTGATTTCAATATTCCCAGTCCCTCTCCTCATTCATTTTCATAGTGTAATTGCACCCTCAGTTCTATTTAACCATGTGACACGTGAGAGATATTTGTGGAAAAATGGATCTTGGGGCACCCTGAGAGGAGGGCACCAGAGCTAGATCAGCTGTAAAAGTTACACAAGTTACACAGAGCTATTATCAGAAACCGGAAAACCGGAAAAACAGCTGTGTGTGCCATATCAAAGGAAAAGAAGCTCCCTTGAAGTGTGAAAATGCCAAGCCACTTTTTTTGCACCTTCAAGGTGGCTTTTCCAGTCAACAGTCAGGGCCGTGTACTTCAAAGCTCTTCCTTGAAGCTATGCGTGTTGCCAAGTTCTGACACCAAATGAAACTCCTGCAGAAGGGAGAAGCAAGCCCCCATGACAGAGACCTCTGAAGTAACCAGCTGAGAGAGAAGAAGAAGAAGGAATCTGAGGGATGGAGACAAAGGAAAGAGGTGATCTCACTCCTCTTTAAGAGAGAGAGAGAGAGAAAGGTACCCAGGAAATGGAGTGGAACCAACTCTTGACTCTCACACATAAGCGCAGTGCCTGGCATGAATGGATTTGTGCCTGTTAAGACCTTAGCAGAATAGCAGCATTGCTTAGCCCATAGATTGTCTGTAACCTGATTTTTATGTCTTGCCTAAAACCTTAAACCATACCCTTTGAAGCGTAACTACCCATTTACCCTTTTATCTTTGCTTTCACTTTTTAATAAAGCTTTTGCTTTTAGAGAAAGATTCTTGGTGTGAGGAATCTATTCTTGCAGAAGCTACACGGTTTAATTTAGTCCAGCCAAGCCAAGCCATTCGACTACCCTACCGGTGTAAACTGATTCCTTCGCGAATGTACAAACTGCTGGGGATTTACACCCAAGTAATTAAAGCACATAATCCAGGGGACTGGTGACAGAATTTGGCAAACAGTGAAAAAGGAGAATGCTGCACTAGGGGACAAAACGAGCTGGCTAATGTGTCCCCTCTCTGGTGGTGCATAAAGGCTCAGATATGCACCCAAGGGTCACATATCACCACAAGAGTTTAAAGACCTGAGACTGGAACCTTAGTAATTTTTCCTACTAGGTAATTTCATTTAGCATTTATCAGCTCAAACTTCTAATCCATTGATGTTAACGTTAGGAGGGGGGGTGTTAAAATTAACAGGTTAAGGCCCCGATACGTTAGTTGTTAACATTTGTGCTGGAAACCATAGTCTTGCTGAAAAAAAAAATGGTGTATAATATTTTGGTTGACTCCGTTGCTTGGAAGTGGTACTTTGTTGTGCTTGGCATCTAATAGGGATACCCAATGGTTCTCAGATCTGGTTCATGTTTGAATAAAGGCAGACAGATTGATGCCAGTACAGCCTGAGCCCTTTTGGAGATGCTTCACCCTGATTCTTTTCTGAGTTTCTATGTGTATTTCTGAGTTTTTAGTTATCCAACCTGCTTCCTGTGAACAGAGAAATACAACGACAAGACCAGGCTATAGAATGCATGGGATAGGCAGGAAAGAAGAGGGAATGGCCAGTGGCCATTCTGTAGGGGTGGATGTTCTGTTTTGTTTTTGCCCTTCTTTTTTCCATGTACCAAAAGAAAGCCCTAATCAGCTTTCAAAGATTTTGTACCACCTTCTTAAATAACTGGCCCCACAAAAGTAGCACAAATATATATATTTATGTCTACATACAGCTATACACACTTCAGTAGCAGTTGCCAAATAGGTTTGTTAAAAATAACAAAATGGAATCCTTTTGTCCTAGGTGTTTGACCCTCAGAGGTTTTCTCCAGAGAATATATCCAACAAAAACTCACATGCATTCCTGCCTTTCTCTGCTGGCCCAAGGTGAGATTTAGAATGCAAACTCGAATTTTGATTGCTCCAGGATTTCTTTGTCTAGCTATGAAATCTAGCTATCATGCTCAGCTCATTCCAAGGCAAAACTAAGGCATGGCTGATGTGTATGGACATTTTTCTGAAACTGATGAAGTCAGATCTCCTCTTCATATTTGTCTCAAATATCGACACAAGCCAAAACAGGTAATGATGAGCCGATAGTTCTTTCAGATGAACAGTGATCTCTCAAAGCTTGTGGTGTTATATGAGGGGGGCAAAATTTCCTGAAGATTTTGGACCCTAATTTATCTTGGTGATAACAACAGAACCCCACCCACCCTTTCCCTTTTCTAAAAACTGGGGGGAAAATTGCAGTCCCTTTGAAAAAGTGTCAGAATGTGCCTCTTTCCATCTCTGCCTCTCGCTGCAATGGCAAAAATGCCAGAGTATTTACATCCAATATTAAAAACACACTCTCCCTTCTCTTGTTTGTAGGATACCTTAGTGGAATGCATTTTAAGAATTCCAAATGTACTTAAGAGAATGAAACATTTGGTCAAGTTCTGCCCCTGCCCCTCCCCCCAAAAAGTATGTTTAAGAATGGTTTTCAAGCTTTCTGCTTTGGAAAGAAATATTGGAGAATGATAGAAGCATCTTCTGGGAGCAGAAGAGGGGTAATCTAAAAAGCAGGAGTGTCTGTATGCAAAGCTGTATAAGAATCAGACTCATACCAGCATGACAAAAGGAGTGAGAGTTGTGGGATTGTTCTATGTTTTGAACAAGAACAAGTCAAACTCTAAATATTTATGTTTCCACATATTTCCATGTAGTCTGACTTTTGGCACAAAATAATCAAATACTAATTCACTGATCATTCTGCCAAAAATAAATTCCTAGTTCAATAATATTGTGTGGTCGACCAGACCAGATGGGCGGGGACAAAAGGAGTGAGAGTTGTGGGATTGTTCTATGTTTTGAACAAGAACAAGTCAAACTCTAAATATTTATGTTTCCACATATTTCCATGTAGTCTGACTTTTGGCACAAAATAATCAAATACTAATTCACTGATCATTCTGCCAAAAATAAATTCCTAGTTCAATAATATTGTGTGGTCGACCAGACCAGATGGGCGGGATATAAATCAAATAAATAAAATAAAT